GCCTCCATATGGGCCTTTGGGTTCTTCTATAGCATGTGGATTGGGGAAAAGGCAATGCCAGGTGATGAATATAGAATCTCAATTTTTGGAGAAGATGGCTTACAGTCTCCTTCATTTGCCAGGGAAGGGACCAGTTTTTTTGCTCCCTAGAGAAGCTAAGAAGAAGCTTCTCATTAAGTCATAGCTTTCCCCAAAGATATATTTCTCCTTTTCTCTCTCCCATTATGTGCATTCATGCACTATATAACAATATTTTGGTCAACAACGTACCAGATATATAAAAGTATACATCATCTAGCCTTGGTGTGTGGTTGGCTCTACTATTTAGCTTGGTGCAAATATACTCTGTAATGTTTCCACAATGATGAAATCACCTAATGAAACATTTTCTTGAGCATATCCCTCTTGTTAAGTAATTCATTACTATACTTAATTTGGGTCAGTGATGGTTGAGGAAATTCATTTTTCCAATCTGTGGTAAAGCTGTCATGAAGTTTGTATATGCAGAAATATGGTGGGCTTAAATAGCACGACTTTCTTTGAATTTAGCCTATGGAGACTTTAGCATGTTTTACTTTAAACTGGGAAGTGTAAAACTCTAAGATTTTGCATTCAAAATGGTTCTCAGAGAAAGTGACTTGTCTCTAGGATGCATTTTTAAACATAATAGGCATATTTAGTTTTTATAGAACCAGAGATATTTAGTGGGCTACAGCAAGAAATTCTAAATATCCTGAAATATGTAAGAAGGTTACATCTAATGAAGAACTGTCCTTCCCCCAATGCCAATAGCACATTGCATTGAAAAACCCTGCAACATCCACCTGTTAGAATTAATGATGTATGACTGTGAGATAAATTTACAATGATTTTCTTTCATTTGCATTTCATTGATCACTACTGATGATGGCTGCCTTTCGTGTTTCTTGGCCTTTTAAATAGAAATTGTAAATATATAATATGTCTGATTTATGACCAACTATGGCTATTTATTTTCTTTTAATTTATCATATATTAACATAGCAGTCATCTTATACATGTGAAAATATACTCTTTCAATGTGTTTCTCGCTTGATCTCTCTTCATAGTGTGTGCATGCTATTTTATCTGTCTTAGAAATACAAAAATGTATGAACATGTGGGTAAGTAACTATTCTCAGTATATTACAGGGTGAAAATAAAACTTTGAAGGATACCAAACTGGTAAGAAACTTTGGTGTGGTTGCACTTGAGAGGCTAAACCACCCATTTTGCTAGATTTTGAGGAGTAATTTGCAGCAGTCATGTTTCTCAACCTTAGTACCACTGATGGTTTGGGCCAGATAATTATTTTTCATGGGGTCTGTTCCATGCACTGCGGGATATTTAACAGCGTGCCTGGTTTCTATACACTGAGTACCAGTATATACACTGACCAAGTTGTGGAAGAAACACAATTTTTGTGGAAAACCCAATTCCAATGATTTTTGTTTGTTTTTAATCAGTTGAGATTGGCAGTAAGAAAATGGAAGTATGCGTTGTCCAAGAGGCAATTCGGTATCTACCTCGAATATTTTGTTTGTTTATGTATGCATGTAGGCATATATCTGTGTATTTATTGGTTCTTTTATGAAACATTCTATTTAGTGCATGGTGACATGGTTGTTCTTTCTGTGCAATAATTCCTGCTGCTTTCCCTGAGTCCTTGATAAGGGATTGTGTATAGACAAAGCTGTATTAGTGACAGTGGCACAAAGAATTAAAATACAAGACACAGAGGGGAGAAATTTTTTTCCCCACACATTGTCCTTTTGCAAAGTCCAGCATATTAATAGCAGTACTGTTGGGAAGTACATTAGTTTTAGACATCTTAATAAACATTTGAAAAAACAAAAAAGTGGGGCTGGGGTTGTGGCTCAGTGGTAGTGCACTCACCTAGCATGGATGAGGCACTGGAGTGGATCCTCAGCACCACATAAAGATAAATAAATAAAGGTATTGTGTCCATCTACAACTAAATAAAATTAAAAAAGTAAAAAAGCAAGAAAGTTAATATCCAAGGTGATTTTTTTAAAAGTACATATTTTGGAGAAACAGCTGAGATATGGACAAGTGAGGAATAAATATTCTCAAATTGCCAGAAGAAGGTCATTACCTATATGCAAGACCACTGATGCTTGATTTTTGTAAACAAAATGCTACGTAAGTGACTATACAACTGCCAAAGTCATAACCATTGCCGGGTTCTTGAACTTTCTTTTCTTACTAGTTCCATAGGACAATAACCTCACCTTTGATGCCATATTAAACAGATCCTCAGGGAAAGCCCACATGGCCACCATTAAACAAAGATGACCACTGTGTTCTCTTTGATTTAAGCTAGACTCTCCTAAAAGCCCCTGCTCACTACAAAATTGGGTTTCTACATCTCTCCTCATCCTTCTCATTCTCTGCAGACCACAGTATGTTTTCCATTCACAATGATTGTACCATTACTTTAAACCCCTAAATTTCTGATACATGTGATGCTGTTAAATAATACAGTGTCCTTTTTTTTTACTACAAATTGTTTTTTTATTCAAGCACAGGCACCAGTATTTAAGTGTTACTTTGGTAGATTTGTATCATTTATATAAAAATATTTACTATCCATCTTATTGCGTGAAGAGTTGAACAATATTGGAACAATCCTGGATTCTCTTTCTGATTTTTATCCGCCTTATGGGCAGCAGACACACCCTTCCTTTGTATTTAAAAATAACCCCACACTATTCATTTACCAGCACTTACAGCACACCAGAACAATTTAATTAGCAGTGCTGCTAATAGACCTTGTCTGCCCCAATTCCAAACAGCTATGCATAAACAAGGGACTTCATTACATGTAGACACTATCATATACAATAATTTGAATCCTCAGAATTATTATATATGAACTACAGAACTTGAGTACCTTAAAGATGGTCAGGTCTAGCAAAGTCATTTAAAGGTGAGGTTCTCTGAGGTGAAATAATTGGGATTACCTAGTTTATCATTTCTTCCAGCTCTAGTATACTTTTTTTTTTTCCTATTGAGATTGGAAAAGAGCTTCTTTTCTCTTCATTAATTATTTACCAATGAACACCTATCAAGAATAGAATTAGGGGCTGGGGCTGGGGCTCAGTGGCAAACCACTTGCCTAGCATGTGTGAGGCACTGCGTTCCATCCTTAGCACCACATAAAAATAAACAAAATAAAGTCATTCTGTTCATCTACAACTACAAAAAGTAGAACTAGATACATATATTTTTTTTAGAGACAAATGTAACTATATTCAATTATTCTTTGCTACATAAAAAGTCCTTTCCTAGAGTTCTCACTAAACTTTCTTCCTAGTCACATGAATCAGACATTGTCTTCTATAGACAGATATTATGATCAAATTCCTAAAGATATCAGTAGAACACATTTAAGATTTAGCTTGATAAAAGAGCAGAATCTGTGATGTACTTAGAAAAAAATATGTAAAGGAAGATGAAATTGTTCTGGTGTGCTGTACGTGCTGGTAAAAGAGTAGTGTGGGGTTATTTTTAAACACAAAGGAAGGGTGTGTCTGCTGCCCATAAGGCGGATAAAAATCAGAAATAGAATCCAGGAGTGTTCCAATATTGTTCAACTCTTCACGCAATAAGATGGATAGTAAATATTTTGATATAAATGATACAAATCTAATGAAGTACCATTTAAATACTGGTGCCCATGTCTGAATAAAAAACAAATTGTAGTGAAAATGGACACTGTATTATTTAACAGCATCACATATATCAGAAATTTGGGGATTTAAAGTAACAGTACAATCATTGTGAGTGACAAACACGTACTGTGGTCAGCAGAGAATGAGAAGGATGAGGAGAGATGTGGAAACTCAATTTTGTAGTGAGCAGGGGCTTTTAGGAGATCCTAGCTTAAATCAGAGAGAACACAGTGGTCATCTTTGTTTAATGGTGGCCATGTGGGCTTTCCCTGAGGATCTGTTTTATATGGCATCAAAGATGAGGGCTAGGACCAGGTTACAGGTTTTCTTACAGCATAAGTAAAACAATATGAGGAAACAGATGCTGAAAATCACTTGCCAGGGATGTTGGAAGGAATTCAGATTTGTGATGGGTAACCAGAAAACTCCATTTAACCACAAGCTTTAGCAATCTTAAAATCATAGGAAATCTTGTTCTGTTTCTGTTTTAACTTGTTTCTTTTTGTCTATATTTTATTTATTGAAATGATTCATGTATTGCCTTCATGTATGATTTTTAAGAGTATGCTATGTGTCTGTGTAGTTACAAAGGCTTTGCAGAATTTTAGATCATGAAATCATGAAATGAAATTATGAAATTGGTAGGACAAAGCTGAACTGAATCCCTTGATTTTTGATCTTATGTTCCTGAATTTTCACAAAGTTTTCATTATGCTTTTTAATTATATTATCTTAACCATATTTACTATATTATAATTATTTTTATTTATTATAATTTTTATTTTTTCACTTTAAATATTAAAACATTAAGGTTTAAGGGGAATTCTTTTAACTAAAACTTCCTCCTATCAAAACTAATAGAGAAAGCTATTTCTCGAATTCAGGCATGTTGCTTTTGATTTAAGCCATCTTTTTAAAATAAGGGCAGCAACATCATCATTTACCATGCCTATGTATGTTTATTCTTGTAATATTTTTTTTCATGGGAAAACTTAACCAGCCATTTCTCAGACATTGTCTTCTATAGACAGTTTTTATGACCATGTTCCTAAGGATAGCAGTAGAGCACATTTAAGAGTTAGCTTGAAAAAAAGAGGAGAATCTGCAATGTACTTAGAAAAAAGAATATAGTAAGATGAAATTGTTCTGGTGTGCTATAAGTGCTGGTAAATGAATAGTGAGGGGTTATTTTTAAATACAATGGAAGGGTGTGTCTGCCTCCCATAAGGCAGATAAAATTCAGAAAGAGAATCCAGGAGCGTTCCAATATTGTTCAACTCTTCAAGCAGTAAGAGCTATGCAGGAATCCTTCTGTGAACCATAGAAATAATAAATGCTGAGCCCATTGGAACATAATCTCAATCAGCAAGATGCCACTGCCTTCCAGATTTCCTCACAGGCCCTGCTAATTCCATGCCAAAACTAGCAGTGGATTTCTTCCTTCTAATCTCCCCTAATGCCTTATTCGATTATTGTCACTGCTCTCCGACCGTGCACTGTCCCTTCAGAGGCTTCATTTCCCAACTGAGTTAGGTGGAGCAGGTTGGGTGTCTCCAGGACATAGTCTAAGACCACAAACCACCTCATTCCATGTGAAAAGACAGAAACAAGAACAAAGACGGCCTGGGGACTCCTCAAAGTTTTTCTGACAACCTCCTCAACTGTTGGATTACTGACTGGAAGCAAGCAAGGAAGCAGGACATGAGGGGTTTGGAGGATTTCTCTAGTTGATTGGCAAAGGAGAGCTGGTCCAGGGGGAGGAATAAACCAGGAGAAGGGTGAAATGGGCATTTCAGTGAACCGTAGGATGGTGTTACTTCTGCCCTGGCTATACATTATTCTATGGTAAGATATTTTTTCTTATTTTTCCTTTTAGCTTGGAGAGAAGGAAAAGTATATACCTACCGGGTGACTTCTCTACCAAACTGCAAAAGAAACCAGAGGGTGGTGTAGCATGTATTTATAATGGAGTGAATTAGGGTAGCATAGACAACATATTTTCTCTGAGACCAGAAGGGTAGATCATTGATTGTCTTACCATCAGGTTAGAAAATGCTCTGGGTAAACTGACAGATGAAGGCAACTTCTACCCAGAAAACATCAGTCGGATCCTGGACAACTTGCTTGAAGGCTATGACAATCGGCTACGGCCAGGATTTGGAGGTAAGAAGCTACATTTTTTGCTAAATCAGACAACTGTAGTTTCCTTCATTTTTTATAGCCCTTTCAAGTCCTAGAGGGGTCAGAAAGGGGGTAGGTCATCAGAGTGGTAAGGAATAGAGGTTCCACAGAGAGGCTATTCATGTATTCCTATTTAATCTCTGCCCCTTCCTCAATTAGTGATCTTATGGAAGTTACTTGCCCTCTAAGTTTTAGAATCCTGGTCTATATTGTGGGTGTACAAACATGTTTGCCTCATAGAGAGAATGTAGAATGAAATTCTCTATGTTAAGCACTCCTTAGCATTTGCTCCATGAAAATATATAGATATGTATATATTTATGTATTATTATTATTTTATTATAGTGCTTTCTCTTTTATTCTTTAAAATCTCCTCAATTATACTACAATAAATTTAAAGTAATGTAACTAATGTGAGGTTTCAGAGTTGAAAGATTCAAGGTGGCCCATAATCGGAATATCCTGGGATCCGCTACAGACTCTGGGCATGGGTAGAGGAGATTTGAGAAGTTATTAAGCTCAGTCTCAATTAATATGCCTGGCAATAATTGCCCCTACTCTGTGGGTTAATTCCAGGTGCTGTCACCGAAGTCAAAACGGACATTTATGTTACCAGTTTTGGACCCGTGTCAGATGTGGAGATGGTGAGTGAGTGCTGATTGAGTTGGGTATTTTTACTTGGGAGAGGAGAGCAGAGTCCCACAACTAATGACACGGGGTCATCAAGCTTGGCTCCAGATTCACGATGCAATATGTGCATTCACCCTGGGAGGGCTTGGCCATTAGAGCAGATTACTGCTTAATCTTCACATTTCACTGATGGTTCTGCTGAAATATTTTGGACTGAAGGCCTTTTAAAGATTAGATCCTCTCTTTCTTCCACATGCCATGCAATGATTCTTTTCTATGAAGAGAAGAACTTCTCCTTTGTGAAGTCCTTATACAATTGTTTGAATGGTTAAACCAAACCAAACCAAACAAACAAACCAAAAGATTCTATGCCCTATGAAAATATATGAAGGTTACTTATGAAACTTAAAATATACCTGTCTTTTGCAATACATCATTGTCAAGTCCAGTTTGTTAAGACAGTAAAAGGAATACTTGGAACAGCTCATGCATTCCCCTTTTTACATTGCAATGGACCAGTGGGTGTTCTGGGGATTCTGTTCCAGGTACAGATGGCTGTAGGATTCGTAAGAAGGTATTTATAGTAGGTGGAGATGAAAACCTGAGCTAGTCCTTTAGAACAAAGTGTACCATGATATCCTTTCACAGTTCTCAGGTAGCATTCTTTTCTTTGAAATTAAAATACAAATACTAATGTGGAAACACACATAACTATCTTTAAATAACTGTGCCATTTGATTTTATTAGGTAAATAAAATTCTGGATAAATAGTTCAGGGAGATTTTTTTTTATCTTTTTGCCATTTGAATTGAGAAAGAAAAGAAGAAAAGGGGGGAAATGATGAAAGAAAGATAAAAGAAAGGAATAAAGGGGGGAAGAAAAAAGGAGAAAGAAAACAAGGAATATGGGTAGAGAACAAGTGAGAGCTTTATGAAGAGATAAGTATTCTGTAACGTGAGGAGAAAGGAAAGTCACCATAACTCAGAACACTGATTATTTTTATATTATATGATTCATTCAAATACTGACTCACCCCAAGAAACAACCAGTAGTTCAACAGCTAAGTATACCCAGAATCATTTAATTCTGGGTATACTTAGAATTTTATCTTAAACATATATCTCCTTTAAAGTGGATTTGTAAAGTGGATTTGTATCCAAGCTAATGTAGCTCAGATAATTATTGTATGACTATATTGTGTGTTATATTTTAGAAACAAAATTACTACCAGTACTAATAAGTATCATAAAGGAATTTATAACAGGCAAAAACATTTATTGACATTCCTTTTGTATAATTACAAGTTATTGTCAATAGCAGTAACCTGATCAAAATTCTTAAAATTTTTGATGTTATTTCATGAAAATCAAAAGTTGAAACTCTTATTTATATATATAATATTTACATTCAGACTTTAATGATTCTCTGTTTGGAATAATCATGGAAACATTTACTTGTCTGTTCTCTGACAAAAATATAAAATAGTTATGATGTGTGACCATAACATTGTTAATCAGTAAGGTTTATTCCTGGGAATTTGTTGAATGTTACTGTAATGCTCTGAGACTCTTTTGCAGGTGAATGAAGTACTGAGCAGAGGGTTAGACTAATTGATGGTAGGAAGGTCTGCAAACAACCTGGACTATAAATATTTTCATGTGTTTTTCTTCTAAATTGAGTAGAGAGGTATACATAGGTTCATAGGTGGGAAGATAAATTACTGAACAGATACAGAGAGAAAGGTGAGAATAGCCAGGGTTTGGGGAGAAGGAGGTTTGCCCAATACAGTATATCAGTTCTGCATTTGAGAAAAATGATGATTGGCCAAAAATCATTATTCATTAATGATAAATTATTCATTTATTATCATAATCAATTATGTATTGATTATAAAATCATTAGTTATTAAATTATTATTTAGCTTTACTGAGAAGTTATTGTCATCAAGTGTTGCTTTATTGCTTAATTTTAGAATTAGTTTTATAAGCCAGTGAGTGAATTACTTTTAATAAACCATATCTCCATCCCGTGTGAATATTGTATTCTCTCCTAGGAGTATACAATGGATGTTTTCTTCCGCCAGACCTGGACCGATGAGAGGTTGAAGTTCGGGGGCCCTACTGAGATTCTGAGTTTAAATAATCTGATGGTCAGTAAAATCTGGACACCTGACACTTTTTTCAGGAATGGCAAAAAGTCAATTGCTCACAACATGACGACCCCTAATAAACTCTTCAGAATAATGCAAAATGGAACAATTCTCTACACCATGAGGTGAGGTTTCTCTAATTCTATTTCCTCTACTGAATTGACTTGCCCATAGTACTAACTTAGACCCATTTGTTTCAATGTCCCTAGGCTTACCATCAATGCTGACTGTCCAATGAGGCTGGTTAACTTTCCTATGGATGGGCATGCTTGTCCACTCAAGTTTGGGAGTTGTAAGTTACAAAAAGCTTCTGAACATCAAATAATGCATTCAAAATATTCAATTATATGATTCTAGTCAGAGACAGGGAAACATAAGAGAAAGAATACTTCGACACTCTTATTGTCAATCTCACAGAGATGTTAGTCATCATGATTAAAAAAATAAATTTATCTTGCATTTCCTTTTTTCTATAGACAATTCTAATTTGAATGGAAAAAAAAGACAGCTAGTCATATTCACCGCTATGTTTAATTTTTTTTCAAATTCAGATGCTTACCCCAAAAGTGAAATCATATATACATGGAAAAAAGGACCACTTTACTCAGTAGAAGTCCCAGAAGAATCTTCTAGTCTCTTGCAGTATGATTTGATTGGACAAACAGTGTCTAGTGAAACAATTAAATCTAACACAGGTAAAAATTTGAATACCTTCTGTAAGGGGACCCCAGCATACATTTTCAAATCAAATATTTATTTTTTTTCCTCTGCATTAGCCATTTTCAGCTAAACTTGTTGTTTTGAAGTGATGAGTGTTGTCTTCAAAATTAATTTTACAACCAAACGTACTTAAAGATTTATATAATCTTCGAATGAGTCTTTAGAACTCCAACAAAAACAATGACCTGATGTGTCTCTTTGCTCTATCAGCTGCTGAGCAAGTAGCCTTTCATGAGCTGGAAAATGTCTTTGTTTTCTTTCAGCCCAAGCTAATTTAAATCTTGTATGATTGATATTCACCTGCATTCCTTTTACAGACTGTCAAGAGCAATAATACTGATGTACGTGTCTTCCAACAGGTGAATACGTAATAATGACGGTTTATTTCCACTTGCAAAGGAAGATGGGCTACTTTATGATACAGATATACACTCCCTGCATTATGACAGTCATTCTTTCCCAGGTGTCTTTCTGGATTAATAAGGAGTCAGTACCAGCAAGAACTGTCTTTGGTATGCTTTGCACTTTGTGCTGCATTCTCCATTTATCCTCCACCTCTCATTGCTTGTGTGTTTTCGGTGAATATTCACATCAGAACCCCTATTCAGTCCACAAAGGAAATAGACTCCTATCTCATCCAGACAGGTATATTTGTAAAATGACACTCATCTTTCTGCAAGATATGTAGTGAATCAACAAAAATATTGTCTCAGCAAGAATTCTGGCCGGTTTCCTATGACTTTCATGTGCCCTATTTAGTAATTTTTTATTTTGATTTGCTTTTTTGTAAGGAAGAAAAAGCAGACAGGTGAAAATTGACATGTAAATCCAGGAAAGCAAAAAAACTAAGGTACTGAAACTACTCATACAGAAATTGTATCTGACTTTTACTAGGTCAAATCATTAAATTGGCATTCTGCAGGTCTCCAATGTCACCTATTTCTTATGGTTTACTCACATTTATGTGTTATAAAACCACTACTAGTTCTGATGGAATGAAACAAAATAATAAGAAAAAGCTATAACTAAGAATATTATTAGCAATGAAATCCATCCTTTTGTAGAATTTTTATGACCAGAAATTTAGTAGTATATACAAAATACTTGAGTTGAACTGAAATCTCCAATAAATCCTGAGTCCTTTGATTTAGTATACTAAATTACAAATTACAAAAGTATATCTGTATAATGATATTGACCATCAATATCACACATCTCCTAATTCTATAAATTACCCAAGTCTGAAGTTCAAGTAGGAAAACTGGTAGCAGATGAATGAGGAAATTTATTTTTTGTAAGTAGATGTTTTACCCTAAGAAATTTTTTTTAAATTGGATATAACTTAATTATATTAATACGCAAACCTAGTAGATTTCTCAATTGTAATGAAAGATGTTTCAGCTACAAAAATTTACCCAAAATTTAAGATTCTTTTTACTTAAGTGATAATAATGTATTGTTTTCTCATGAATTAAAAAACTAAGAATGATTCATGACTTAAATTTTACAATAGTTAAATAAATACAGTTGAACAACTCTTTGAGGAATTACATTGTATAAGTCACTGCACTAAATTTGAATGATACCAAAATGAGAGCACCTATGATAATTATGAACAATGTTAATGCAATCAGGTAGCAAACATTACACTGCAGTGACAGAGTGTTTACTACTCTACCTACCAACATCTTCTCAATTGATCCCGCTATTGGCTTCCTGATGCTAATACTGAATTTCTCTTTTTTTTTTCTCATTTTAGGTATCACTACTGTTTTAACGATGACCACTTTAAGCATCAGTGCTAGGCACTCCTTGCCCAAGGTATCATATGCAACTGCCATGGATTGGTTCATAGCTGTGTGCTTTGCTTTCGTCTTTTCTGCTCTTATTGAGTTTGCAGCTGTCAACTACTTCACCAACCTACAGTCACAGAAGGCCAAAAGGAAGGCACAGCTTGCAGCCCAATCTCCAGTGACAATATCAAAGGCAGCAGAACCCTTGGAAGCAGAGATTGTTGTGGTAATTGTTGTCTTTTCTAATGTTACCCACTACTTAGAAAAAGGCAGCCCAAATAGTGATTACATACAGATAAACAGTCCAAAATAACAAACTACATAGTTAAAAGTTGCATAACTCTAGTTCCAAGAGCAAGGCCAATTTCACTTCTAACATCGAAGAAAAAAAATGCGAAAGAACAATCCTTCATTTATCTTTGCTCCAAACTTTCACATCCTTCTTTCATCATCTTTACTTATTCTGGCAGATTCCATGCTCTCAAAGGAGACCAGAAAATTCTTCTTAGCCTTTAGATGTTTCCTTTGAACAGGTTTTATATATATATATATATATATCTCCTAATGAGATTCTGAAGGAAAGGAGGAACAGGAACCCTTTTGGAATGGACTATTTTTGTTAGAAATCTGTTTGCTGTTTTAGTTCATGAGGACAAGACATGATTGGTGAATAATAGATTCTCTGAACTAATCATAGTCCAAATATTTGATTCACATTAAAATATTCTCATATTTATGTTTGTATATTAGATACATGCACCCCAATGAGTTCATGTTCAAAGTTTTATAACCAGTGAGAAATGCTCATAAATTTACATTAAATTTGCTGTGGTCAAGCCCTGGTCCCCACAGCTATTTGAATAGGAAACAAAGGATAGCATTGATATTTAAAGGGCCATATATCTACTCCTACTTATCTGTTTCATAGATGAGTGAATTCTTACACAATTAATCTGGACACCCTTTTAAAAATGCATTTGAAAATTGATTGACAAATATGAATTTGTTTTAATATGAACTCCAAAGAGTAACTCTTAGGAAAGAGATAATTTTTGCTAATAAGATTGAGTAATGCAGACACTTTGAACTGGGGATTTTTTTAATTGATGAATTTTAGCAAGCATTTCTAAATCTCAAAACCATGTATAGCGCATTCATCTTTATTTTATCTTTGTGATCACAATTATAAAGCTATGCATGGCTTCTCTCTCTGTGAGAAATTTCTTGACTAAAAATGTGACATTTGTTTTAATTGATCATTTTCACTTAGATAAAGGAAGAAGTTTATTTAAGAATTTACATTTTCTCTAGGAAATGAGAGACCAGCCTTATAATAAGTAGAGATATATAATTGACACATTATTTTTCTTGAATCAGCCATGGCAAAAAAAAAAAAAAGAATGAAAACTTTTGTCATATAGTGACCCAGTGTAATTACCTTCTTTTACAAATGAGAAAACAGGATCTCCAAAAAGAAAAATATTATTTACTACTGGGTAGAAAAACTACCTAGAATTGATTCTAGAACTCCTGATGTTAATAAAATTATGTAGAGTGAAGCCTTCTTTTTCCCACAATTTCTTAAGGACTCAGATATACCAGAATACATACAGGGGATAAAACATTTTGAGAATATAGGTGAGGTCATTCCCCAAATTCTTTCTTTGATATGAGTATATTTCCATGTATTTGAGAGTATATATGAATGATATATTTGGAAATGATTTTAGGTTTTTAAATTTAATTAATTGTATTATAAGCTATCTGTATGCATAGAGTTATATAATCTACAAATATTGTCCAAAGCTCATATATTATCTTCACACATACTGGGAAATAAATTATTTGTCAGAATTCAATTTAAAAATTATTTGAGACATAGAGTAAAATAAAAAAGAGAAATTAAATAAAAATAGGGTAAAAAGCAACTGGAATGATTTTGAATATACTCAGTGGTCAGATATTAAAATTAAAAGTAATCTTTATCTTCACTTTCTTTGAAATATCTTGTACTGAGAGGAATATGATTTTAAATCTTTGGAGAAAACAGTAATCACCTCATCAGGCCATTATTTTAAACGTATAATTTATTAATAAGATAGAATCTAAGATCTCAGGTTTTCATATAAACTATCTCCTACAATCCTAAAATAGTAACATATAATGAGCAGGTCTTTTGGGAAACTGGATAAAAAATTGCATTTAAATCACCTTAAAGTACTTTTTCTTGCAAGTTGCCATTTTTTCTTATGAAAAATTGTATTTCTGAACCTAGTTCCACTTATAATATTTTTAAACAATGAATAGGAGAATTTTGTTTACAAAAGGCTAAAATGTAGAAATTAAAAACAACAAAAGCTAACAATGCAAACTTTGAACATATCAAAATAAATAAAGGTGATCATGCAGGATTTTTTCATTTTGTTCACATGAAAACTTGGCAGGTTGTCTTATACAGTGGGGGGGAACAAATACAAATTTCATATTTGCAATTTATATTAAACAATAGTATATTATGATTGCAAAGTCATTTTTTTTCCTTGAAAATATCATGACATTTAAAAATGCCCATTCAGTTGTAATCAAAACATCATTATTCAAGTAAGTTGGACATTGAAATAGCAAACTAATATGGTGAAGTTGAGATTTGGGTATTTCGTGTGATTCTATGTTGCATATTTTAAATATGTTCACTTCATAGGAAACTAAGCATGGATGTAGGTAAAAGTTTATTACCTTTGTCACTTTGATTTTGACTTTGAAATTTAAAATAATAATGAAAAATAATTCAGGTATTAAAAAGGTAGTTCTCAAACTAAAAAACAAAACAAAAAAACAAAACAAAACAAAAAACCCAACAAAACAAAACAAACAAAGAATGCTAGAACACTCATCATCTGTTGTGCTTTTAAGGCATTTGGAATTGGAAATTTAACTTTGTAGATTTTGAGAAGAAACTTCAGCAGCCTTTCTCCTGTTTATATGGTTGCCATTTTTATTTGGTGTACTATCTAGACATTGCAGTCATTCCTGACTTTGTGGTTTCAGAACCTCTAATGTGTCTGGGGTATTCCTGTACTCCAGGCAGACAAAGCTCAGTTCTTGACCTCCTTTGGCACAGCTGGCTGGTTTCTTTATAATTTAAAGGTCTAAGTTATCATGGCTGTGTTCTAAGAATGAATTGTCCCTACCCCATCAACCTTCTCCTTGAGTGTTGTCATTACTCCTGATTTGGCATGTTGTCTCTACAAGGGGCATGAAACTTTTTGTTCATTATCTGCACACAAAATGGATTAAAATTCACTAGCCAGGAAAATGACTACATTATACTGCTTATATTGTTCATTCATTTTCTTTTGTTCCCATTGGGCACCCATTTGTTGAGTACTTAAGTATCTATTCAATAATTCATGCTGTTCAATTGTTTGTTAAGTGCTTTCACATGCCAAGTCCTTTGTTGAATGCTGAGTGACATCCTCATGGAGCTTCTAGTGCAACAGGAAGAGAGACAACTCTGGAAGAAACCAATTAACAAGGCTTTATAATTGTGATAAAGGCTATGGTCAGTGATGTAGGACAGGATGAAGAACCATGTGCGTGTCTCAGTTTGGAGGGGGTCTCCATTTCGGGAAGAGTGAAGCCTAAGCTGAGAAGAGAAAGATGAACCTGGCTCTGTTACAGAAGCACTAAGCCAGTTGCTAAAAACTTAAGTATAGAGAGGGAAATGAGACCTATGTCCTTCCTGCCTCCTCTTCAAGGTGGGCTGTGTGTGGTCCATTTCCAAGCTTACATAGAAAGATGTGAAGGTCTTAGAATTCCAAAAGCTCATCTTTCCCTCATCCAGATTTTGCCAAGATTTCTTTGAATACTGTCATTACTCTATAGAAGTAAGGATTAAATTAAGACATCTGGCCTTAAGGACCAGAAAAATCACAGTGCCCTCTCTCTATGGTTAAACCACTCTATGATTGATGGGGAGAGTGGGGTGGACTAGATGATCAGGGATGTAAGGAGTGTTAGCTGTTTTTCATATGTCCAATCAAATTCCCACCCAATACTTCTTTCTGGAGTTGGGTTTCCCCTAGCACCCCTGCTGCTTCCCTGTAGAAATTCTAGAGCTATCTCTGCTCTCAACTCTTATTAGCTGTAATGTAAATACAAGCAGAGTTCCAATTTTTTTTCCATAATGATTGATATGATGATTTTAAAATAATCTCAAATACTGTTCTCAAAGCATAGTCTCTCTGATTTTTTTTCTGTGCCTCTACATGCTTGTTCTATAAACAGCTAGTTTGCCCATTCAGTAGTGCAGTCCTAGTTAGAATATGTATATATTAAAAGGCTACCCATTGTGCTCTCCCTTTTAAAATATTAGACTTGAAATTGCTCAAAAATATTCTCTTAATGCCTTATCCCTAGACCAAATAAGTGATTGTCATATTGTCCACTTTGACTCAGAGCACCTTTGCAGTGTGACATTACTTAAAACAAAGAGGTGCTCTAAAAATACCCAAAGCAGGATGGCACTCAGCAGCAGGGGAGCCTTGGAAAAATTCACAACCACAGGCGTTCCACTCAAAACAGTGACAGCCCCAAGCTGAGCCCTCATCTGGACTCTGACAAAAGCCTATTTTGCCATCAACTGAAGCTGCTGGGCTTACAGTAGAGTAGGCGGGTCTGATACAAGCCTGGAGCTCAAAAGGCTTGCAAGGTTGGCTTTCTTTTTAGAAATTCAATGCATTTTTTTCTAAACTGGTGTCCAGTTTCCTTGGGCTGCCAATTCCCGATGATCCAGTACCGATTACTAAGTGTGTCAAGTGGCCAGGACTCTTGCATTTCCTTTTGCATATCATTTTTGCTGCCTGCTAAAAATCCAACCCCACCCCCATTGCTGCTGGGCAGTGAAACAATGGTGACTCCAAATTAGTGATTACTAAAGGGGATCAGTCTCCCCACAGGACATTAGGCAATGTCTGGAGGCATTCATGGTTGTTGCAATTCGGGGTGGAGGGTGCTACTAGTGTCTCATCAGAGGAGGTAAGGAAAGCTGATCAACATCCCAGGATGCATAGGACAGTTTGTCCCGATGAGAATTATCCACCCAAATCCCTGTAGTTGTGAATTTGAGAAATCATGCCTAAACTGGGAATGAATAGCATAAGAATTTTTAACAATGTGATCTTTGGTACCTGAGAAGAACTGAATCCAAGCCTTGCCACTTATTGCCTATGTAAGCTTCCTGCTGTAGCTTCCATTATAGTGAATATAATGACATTAAAGATGTCGTCAAGGAATAAGCCAAATAATGCAAGCAAATTATCTTGTAATGCTGGTCAACATTAAGCCTTTAGAAATGGTAGCTATGATAGGATGTAATATCAAAAATATTTTTAAATACAATGTTATAAAACTTTGTTTTTTTCTGTTTTCCTGCCTTCTCTAACAAATCTTGAAAAATATTTAGATTTTTATTCATTTGTTGATTGAGCATAAGTTTATTAAATTATTTTATGTTCTAGGCTCTGTAGGGATCATGCATGGAACAAGATATCCTATATTATCAAGGAAACATTACAATAGAAAGGGTGATAAGCCACAACAGAAGAATTATACTTAGAAGAGAAAATGTTGTAATAGTCACACTAGTTGTAATAGCTAAGTAGGCTCAAAAGTGTATAAAGCCAGCACATAATCCGTGATAACAGTTGGCACATAAGCTCGATAGCAAAAGATGTGGAGGAAAGATAGAGATGGGATGATAGGTACACGCTACTCTAGGCAAGAGGAAATCAAGCAAAGGTAAATGAATGGTAAGAATAATAATCAGACATATTTGGGGGGATAATTGAAAAATAGCTATAACTAAGATTTGCTGTGCAAATTTGCTTGTGTGTTTGTGTGAGGGGTGGGGTGAAGAGAGAGAGAAAGAGAGAGAGAGAGAGAGAGAGAGAGAGAGAGAGAGAGAGATTCATTTTGCTTAAATTCTAAAAATAAGAATAAGTTTGTGAGGAAAGTAGTAATTATCCCTAACTTTGAAAATGAGATCTTGAAGCTTAGGGAAAATCAGAATCTCTGATATATATGACATGTCTAAGTCATACACAAGTGAGAAGCAGATAGAGGACTGTAATCTGAAGATTTCCACCTTCCCTGTTCCCCTCACTCCTAGGCAACTCTCTACAGAGATTATTGGGGACAGTAATGAGGAAGAGAGTAATCCTATTCTATGGGACCCTTAATTCCAGGCTAATGCCATTTTACTGAAATTTTTCATGGTGTTTGGTTGTGAATGAAGCCTTTTATCTCTGGACCAGGGATATTTGGCAATCTTCATTAAGTCTTCTGTGACAATGCCAAGATATTATTCAGAAGCAGCTCTACCACCCCACACCCTAAGTTGGAAGAAGAAAATAACAGTGCCTTTCATTTTTATGGTAAATGATGTTTTATAGTCACTTTTTATTCCATTGAAGTGGCATGCCTGCTTTCCTCTGTGTGAAACAAAGACAAGTTTCAATCAGGTAATGTGTGCTAATAAAGGTCAAGACAAGCCTGGAAAGAAAATCCACTCTCAAGGTTTGCTCTCTTCCTGTGCCACCATGATCTTTAGGACTTTTCCTAGGGGAAGGTATTTCAGTGTTCTCTATGTGTGGGGCGAGAGTAGGTCTTTATGGAGGATGAACCAGTAATGCATTTTTATCTTCCAGGTGGACAATATATTAATAGCATATTTAATGATTGAAAAATCAAATTAGAGTCCAAGAAACGTGATAGAAAACTCTTATGAGGCAAAGAGTCTGGTGACCCTGGAGATTTATTCCTCTGATATCACATATTTTCAATAAAGATTTCCACTTATTTCCTGTCCAAGATCAGCAGACAAGGTTTTCCTTTATTTTAAACCCTCTTCTACCTCCAAGAACCATGATTTATTGAGTTTTGTCCAAATTGCCTACTGCAATACCAGGTCAATAGATAAGATAGTCTTTGCTTGAAATTGTCAAATCACCTGTGAGTACACAGATTTTTCTTTCTTTCTTTTTTTCTTATGCTTTGGATGAAGAAGCAGATTTTTCCATAGTTTCTAAAGTCACATTGGGCTTGAGTTCTCTATGATGACCACTATTATTTAGATACTCAGAAACTTGCATGGCAAATCAAAAGCAAAATTCAGGAGGAAAAATAGAAAGAAGAGATTCTTGAGGTTGTTATTCCTGCAGCCCAAATGTCACCACATCGGCAGGTCGTTTTGTCCTGTGGCTCAGCCCACACAGGGGAGGTGGCTACCTCATCCCGCTGCCTCAGGGTTGCTGGCTGAAGCCACAGGAGTCAGCCCATGTGAGGAGGATGCCCTGCCAGGCAGCAAAGTAGTGATTTTGCTGCCAGGGAGGAAACAAGGCCATTTTGCAAGGTCAGTGGTAATGTACACCAAGCTTTTGAAGGTAGAGACCCAGCAAGACAACCTTGCCTGAAGGAGAGCGATTGTTACAGGATGTAGACAAGAAACAATAGGAATCAGAGGAAAGCACCCTAGATCTAGCACTATGAAAGAAATCCAAATAAGACAGAATCTAAAGTCTGTGAAATAGGCTCAACAAGAAACTGTTGGGATGAAAGAAGCATTGAAATTGACCAGTGAGCTTTTTTGCTAGCCAAGTAATCACAGACAGGGCATCTCACCTGACTGGACCTAGCTTCTCAACCGTCATTGAATGTGGTAAACATTTCTTTCAAGACAGAAGTTGATTGCTTTACAATTTCGGTAGAACAAAACATCTAATGGTTGAAAAGAACATGCAACAAATATGACGTCAATATGGAGGGGACCCAGTAGAGAATTTTTGAGTGAGAAGAACGCTTTTAGTATAGTGCTTCTAGTGAAGAGGCAGATCTATGTCAAAGCCTTCATTTTCTCAGTCAGCTGAAGGCTTTGTACTTGGTCACCAGCCATGCCATACTAATTCTTCTTACATTTCTTAATTTTTCTTCTTATATTTCATCTGGTTCAAACTCACAAGCAAGTGAACATGCGGATGGGCGGGGGGAGGGGGGCAGTCTGTGTCCAGAAGGTGCAAGTGATCTGCATCCTGGTTTCCCTGAATTAAGTAATTTGGAATCCAACACACACACACACACACACACACACACACACACACACACACACACACACACCATTGTTTACATCCATTTCCTTAGTGGCCTTTGCTTACCTTGCAGCTGGCTCAAGTTTTCCTAAAGGTGTGACAGTCTGTGTATTTTCTGCAACATAGGATATGCTTGGTATCAACTGTTGATGCATTCAATTTTAGAATGTCAGATTGCAGCAAGTTATTTTTTTAAACAGGTGCTTTCACACTTTCTTGGGAAAGTAGCAGGATAAAATAATACTAAGGGTTTGTTGATATTTTACCTTACAAAGTACATAGTCAATAATATTTGCCAATGGTGAAAAAATGAGAGATTAAAGTGACCTCTATTCTTTAACCTAGTATGAATATCTCTGTGATTTCTTCCACAGCATTCTGATTCCAAGTACCATCTGAAAAAAAGAATCACCTCGCTGACTTTGCCAATAGTTCCATCCACCGAGGGGAACAAAGTCCTTACCAGCACACCCATCCTACAGCCAACACCTGTCACCCCACCACCACTCTCACCAACATTTGGGGGCACCAGTAAGATAGACCAGTATTCTCGAATTCTTTTCCCAGTTGCATTTGCAGGATTCAATCTTGTCTACTGGATAGTTTATCTTTCCAAAGACACAATGGAAGTGAGTAGCAGAGTCGAATAGCTTGTGGCCAGGAAAATATAACTCTATATAACTTCCTATTTTCTGTATTTTTTAAAAAATCACAATAGCATTGAGCCTTGTGTAGATGCTTTTCTGATACGAAATCAAGATTGAAAATCTGTAACTCATAGCTTTGACTAAGCATGTATGGAGCCCAAAGCAATAATGTTACCAGTCAAAATTGTAAGTGGGAGATGGCTGAAAAATGTAATGTTTGCATACCTTAAATAGAGTTTTTATAAGAGGATAAAGTGGATTCATGATGAATGTCCTTCATCATTCAGTACTTTAATTATCACTGCAAATAACAAGGTAACAATATGAGAAATACTGACACTTTCAAAGGTTGCCTTAAATATGTTTTTTGGCTTAGTTTACACAAGTGTAAAATAAATATGCATTATAAATATTCATCAGTAGGTTTATACCAGCATGTTGGAGGCCTTTATGCTAGCAAAATGCCTTTTGGTGGCATTGTAAAGCTTATATTGAATTTAGACATTTGTTTTTAACCTTGCTGTGCTCTTTTACCTCAGTAAAGTGTGGTATTGTATACATATAAATTATATATCAATCATAAATTATGTATGCATTTGTACATAGCTTTAGTTTTACTGCTATACTGTGTTGTTTTATCCTATTAAATTCTACTTTAAATTAATGTGCTTACCAGAATTCCATGCAGTTGTGGAAAATCTTAGATTTTAAGGAAGCTCTCTATATTATGGCTGTAGTTACCACTTGTAATTTCCACCTTTTTTAAATATAACACTAAATAAAATATGAATGAACTTGGTTCTTTAGATCTGTTTCATAAACTAGGGATAACAGTTTCCCTAGGTACTGAATGATGTACTGGCTACCTGGTTACTTTCATGCCAGGGATAGTGTCCCTGGTGATTGTAAGAAATAGAGGTATAAGAGACAGGCCCAGTAGCCCCACTGGGTAAAGACTGGAGTCCACGTTTAAATAGTTAATTCTTCTTTTCCTCCTCTTCTATCAACAATGAAAATGGGATGAGACTACGCTCCTCTTTCTATTACTTTAGTTCTTCCTGATGCTTCCTCTGTTTCCCTTACATTGAACTATACAGGGAAACAAGAGTTAGGACTAAGAGAAAGCATGGAATGTGGTTTGTCCAAATAGATAAGAACTTCATTAGACACCCTGGGTCTTAGACATTGTTGCAGTCTCCCAGAACTCAGAATTCTCTAGCCACTATCTAGGAAAATGTAAAAATGCCCAAACAACTTCAATCTGAATTGAAATAGCCCTTGGCTAAGGTAAAGAGACTGAGATTTCCACCCCAATTCTCCATCATTTAGCTCCTTAACTAAGTATCTTAAGTCTCTGGGAGATGCAGCTCTGTTCTTATTTATAGAACAAAGAAACTGCATTGGATCTGTAATAGTCAATTTGAATTGTCAAATTGATTCGATTAAGAGGTCAAGGATTAAGAGGTTTAAGGATGCATTGATGAGGGTGTGTCTAGAAATGATTGGCATGTGGGATAGCCAACTGAAATAGAAAACCTCCCACTGACCAATAGGATGATGGCTTGGATAGAATACAAGTTGGAAGAATAAGGAAGCAGCCACAGATGCAAGCTCAGTTCTTCTTGAATGGCTTCTTTATTGCTGCTACGAACTTCTGAGGATATCAGATTCTTGCTTCTTCACTCTTCCAAAGTGGATTCTCCAGAAGCCTTTTGTCTCAAACTTGGGTAGCAACTTTGATCCCTCTTGTCCTGGGGCTTCAGCCTCTTGGCTGCACAGCTACTCATTCTCACAGCTTTCCACCCTTTTATAATTATACTTCCTGTTGATTCTGTTTCTCTAGAGAAACTAATGCACAATTCCTCCCCAAGCCCCTTCCATTGTGCACACTTATGTTGTTTCATAACTATTCTTTCCTATCTAAGTGAATTTGTTATAATTATATAGAGCTTGCTTTTCTTTTGTGGAGTATATTAGACATAATTTAACATTAGGTAGGTAGGTGTTCATCATCTCACTTTCATCCTTCTTAGAGTCAAATATGTATTGCTATTTTCTCCATTTAAAGATGAGGGTACCAAGGTACAGAGAAGAGAAAAACATGTGCTTAAAAGCAAGTAGCAGTCAGATTCTATGGCTGAGAATGAAGCTCAGATACTGTGAATTGACAACTTGTTCATTTAACTGTACTCACACATGTCCTCATGTAATACAATGGGACTTTATGCCTTCATTCCCACTAGAAATCTCTCACAGTTTCCCTGTAATAATTCCCATGGTTTTCTGATATCATCCATGTCCTTCCACAGCATTCATAAACATGACATTGTGAATGACACTCTTTCTCAGCATTTATGTTAGAAGCTGAAATAAAGACAACTGATTAAAAGAAAATATTCGCTATATCCATATGATTGTGTTATTTTGCAAAAGAAAATCTTAGCAGTAGCATCCCCCAGAAAACAATTTCAAAGCACCACTTATATTACTGTCTATACCGTGTCCTCTATTACCACCCCCAATCAAACAGATGTGGGATTGTGTTTCTCTGAATGCATGCATGACTTACTCCAGTCCAAATAGCTATTTAGAAACTAAAGTGTGACTGTGTTAAAATGAACCAGAGTATGTATTTCAACAGAGGGAATTTCAGAGAGAAGGACCTGTTCAGCCACACAGAGATGTTAAATGTGAAAGCAGATATGGAGCAGGAGAGGATAAGGGTAATAGGACCTAGAAATAGGGAAGAAGCTGTATGGATCCAGACCACCACCCAGAGCTAGGGATCAGACTTCAAGGGTAGGGTGCCACTGGAAGTTCTGCTCACTAGAGGAGGGATTCTCAGAGCGGACTCTCAGACCTCCAAGTTTTACTGCTAGATTCTCGGGAGCTTGAAGTGGAACAATGCAAATTTGGGATCAGACTCAAGGATATGATGCTTGAATGAAACTGGGTAACTCTGAGAGGAGAACATGAAGTGGGTTCTGGGAGGACAGAACAACTAGAGACAAGAACCAATGCTTATCTCGGGGTGAAGCAACACTTGAATGGCAAAACCAGTCAACAACAGGATACAGTACCTGCCCTTTCCTCCTGCCTTCCTTCTGCCTTCCTCCATCTCTCCAGGGCTTTCTGTCAGCAGAACCAAACAGAAATTGTCTTGAGGAGAAGGAATAAAAATTACAGGGTTTCAGCCCCATCATGACAAAATGGAATATAGACGGTTGGATATGGAACTGACAGATAATTGCTTGCTAACTGGCATAATTTAGCCCTTTGGTGATTCAGAACTATATACATACTGCTGTACATTTCATACTGCTTCACAATAATAAGATGTGATTATCCTTTGTACAAACAGAAATACTCTCATAATTTTTCCAAAAAGGAAATGCACAAAATCTTAACAGTTATTATATCTATCTCTAGGCAACAATCCTAGTATCCATTTCTGAGTGATGATATTTATTCTTCCAATACAATTACAGCCCCACCGGAATGCTCTGTTTCCTAAAGTCTCAATTATGAAATAAAAATGCATACATAAAACAGTTCAAGGGACAGGAGAAGGGAGGTCAGAAAAGAGATTACTTAATATAAACAACCCTCAGTATATAAAATACCTATTAGAGCTTCATGTACATGTACATCATATCTATACCTGTGAAAAGGCTATTAAGCAAAGGATAAAATATGCATAGCTATTACAGTCTCTGTTTCTGCAGTTGGCTACAAGACCACAGTTGATATTTATAACTTTTTTTTTTCCATTACCTTTTCTGTCAGTCAACACCTTACCTGGTTGATTTGGGGTTCTTTATCCAGAAGTGTTACTATTTTTTTTTTTTTTGGTACTAGGGATTGAATTCAAGGGTGTTTAACCACTAAGTCACATCCCCACCCTTTTTTACTTTTTATTTTAAGACAGTAAGTTGCTTAGGCCTTGCTAAGTTTCTGAGGCTGACCTTAGACTTGGGTGATCCACCTGCCTAAGCCACCTAAGTCACTAGGATTACAGGCATTCACCACCACACCCGGCTCCATAGAGTCTAAATTCAGGTGTGGGACAATTTTGTCCAGGTATTGGACAATTTGTTAGGAAAATTGCTTTCACCAGCCAGAAAATCCTAGAAATCCTTGAGGCTCTATTATTCCCAACCTTGAGGCTCTATGATCACCAACCTTGTGGCTCTATGATCACCAACCTTGTCTAAGTCTTCTGTAAATTTCAGCCTCACTTTCCTTCCTAATTAATGTCCTGGCATTCTCCTAGGTGACTTGTCAAAGGTAAGATTTCAATTTATCTCATTACTCTACCATCAGCACAAATAAAATATACATCTGCTTCTTTGAGAGAAGCAACCCACCACAATAAAAAGTAAGAGACTCTTTATACCTGCCATTGGAGGTCTTTTGTTCTTCATTATTTGTACAGAAAACTAAGACCTGTGAGCATAAACCTTTCTGTCTGTAAATTCTCCAATCAAAGGAGGCCACTCAGTCACAGTTATCATCATCATTACAACTATTAAAGTAAATTAGTATAGAAGATTCTTTGTTCTCCAGGTGCTTCATTATAACCAAATAAAAGTGATCATTTTTAATTAACGGTGAACCCTGGGCTTCATGTAACAAAATCACTGGTGTTTCACTTTTAATTGGCAAGGAGGTCAGTAGTTCACTGAAGACCATGGACATTCCAAAGGAAGCCCAGGGTCTTCTGTTACCAGATACAATCCAGGCAGAAAAATGTCAAGCATTGTTAAGGCTGGGACTTGGGGACAAAGAGAGGGACATGGAGTTAAATTCTTTGAGGAAGACCCCACCAGGAACTGGAGCCCAGAAATTTAAGAAGAAGGCAATACCAGGGGCATGATGAGGCTGCTCCCGAGAAGAGAGAGAGAACCTAGAGGCCACACCAACTGCTGCTACCAGTGTGCGAGGACACGGGCTGAAACTCATGCAGAACAGCAATAGCAGGAGTGCAGAAGTCCCTTCTTCCCTTTGTCTCCCTGTTGTCTTTCCTCACAACTAGCAGAAAGCATGGGAAAAGCACACCCTGCTAGGCCTAGAAGGGAAGGTTTGCAACAGAGACACGAGGAAACACAGGGACCCACCCTATTCTGGCATCCAGCTTAAGCCTTTTAAAATTGCTCAGCGGTTGCATTTCATGTGCAAAGTTGAGTGGTTGAGGGAGCCATGCAGAAGACAGGCTTCTGTCCTGAAGTACTTCTTTGTAAAGATCCATTTCTATATGTTACCACCCATGAGTTTATGCATGAGAGCTGCTTAAAACGGTGTGTGGTATGTCTAGGGCCTGGTCATGCATGATTGGTTAGAGTATCATCATGGTCATCTTTTTATACTCCAGTAGTTAGCATTGATATATAATTGATAAAATTATGGTTAAAAGCATTCCCTGTCAGGTCAGGCGTTATCATGAATGGATTTGCTTATGACATACATTAGCCAACACAAAAATAAGATATCTGCTAACACACTCAAACTAAAAAAAAAAAAAAAAAAAAAAAAAAAAAAAAAAAAAAAAAAAAACAAAAAAACAAAAACACAAGTCAGTACTGAAGAGTCTGAGCATTGCATGACTCTAGCTACTAAAAGTTCACAACTTTGAAGAGCTTCCCACAAAGTTTGGCTACTTGACATGTGTTATTGTTTAATGATGCCTCAATTCATGATTGTCCCAGAATGTTTTCTGTCCTAGAAAAACCAGTGGCGATTATTGTTTTAAATCTTCCTGAACATGAGCTGTATTCATTCTTCTGACCGCATGTGTTTTTG